TCACAAATAGGGCATCCAAGTTGTCCTTTAATGCTATATCCCAATAGATTACCATACGCCGGAAAGTCATTGATTGTACCAAAAAGTATAGCTCTCAAATTGAATATCTCTTCTCTGTAGGCATCATATACCTCCACACCTGTCTCCCACATTAGCTTCAAGTCTTCAATAAGTGGTTCCAAATAAACATCTATGTCATTTCTGAGTTACTTTAGCCCCGAGATTAGTAAGGACAACATAATATACTTTCGCTTCATGCAAAGCCAAGGAGGCAAGTTATAAATGACCATCATCACAGGCAATGTACTGTGGGTACTACTCTGCATTCCATGCGGGTTCATCCCATCGGTAGACAATGTGAGACGTTAATTCCTATCTTCTTTTCCAAACTCAGGGTACTTCCAATCAAACCTTGTCCATTCAGGAGAATCAGCTGGATGCAGAACCTTGTCATCTTTAATTCTCCCATGTGCATGCCATGTCAGATTCTTTGCCTCTTGACGTATGCTATACAAGCGCCTGAATCGTGAAATAATAGGAAAATACCACATCGCCTTCTTTGGACTCTTCCCATTCTTTATATAACGTGATGCCTCAAACTTAGGACAGTGGGTTAGCTCTTCGTATTCATTCCTAAACAAGATGCAATCATTAGGGCAAGCATGTATCTTCTTATAACTCAGGCCAACTGTGCGTAACACCTTCTTTGCATCATATAGCCGACTTAGAAGCTTGTTATTCTTTGGTAGCATTAGTCTGATAAGAGAGAGTAAGCTTGAGAAGCTAGTATCACTCCACCTACTTGTAGCTTTCAAGTTATACAACTCTAACACAGCGGACAATAAAGTGAACTCAATACAACCCTCATACAAAGGTGTCTCCGCATCAATTTTCAACTTCTCCAATTTCTCTGGAAAATTTTTAAGTTCCCCTTCTATCTCACTAGCTAATTCTTCAAAACAGCAGTCAGCCTTATATGCACTTGTGTCAAAATCCGGTAATGATGAACAACTTTTCATATATGCCCAGCTACTATTATTCATATTTTCAGGTATCTCTCCATGCTTTACTCAACATTTATAACTTTGATCAATTCCATACTTAAATAAGTGAAGTTTACATGTTTTAGGAGAAACTGATTTCACATTACCACAGCTTAAACAAGGGCAAACAATTCACCTGCAGTCTTCTGCATTATTTATTGCAAACTTAATGAAGTCTACCACCCCATCCCAATATTCTTTGGATAGACGGTTAGCAGACATCCACTCCTTATCCATAATTAATACCCTTGTTTAAGTAAGATAATAAATATGGAAAAGCATTCAATGAGTACAAGTTGATTATTTTAAAAATTTAGACAATTTAAGCAGCATAGCGACTTAAATTCAATGTTCCTCGAGCCTCATTCTCTATTTATACTAATTTAATCAAACTAAATGTTAAACTACTTCAAAGAAAGCTCAAATTTGTTCTAAATAATCGCAAAATAAAAATTTAAAAAAAATTTGATAGCATAACGGCATGAAATTGAGCACTTCTCAGGCTTAATGCCCTCTTTTCACAAATCCAATATTAAAATAACAAAAATTTCAAATCAACATATACATAGATCAATCTCAGGTCAATTTTAGAATAAAATACTACTACAACTAAAAGGTTAAGCAACCATGTAATATACTAACTATAATATATAAAGAAACAAGTCCAGGTTCCAAGCTCAATAGGGGGAAAAAGGAATCAAATAACTAGAAAAATACAATATTTAAGAACAAATTGAAAAGCATTGGGTAAAAGTTACAAGGAACATGTCTACTAAGTCAAGACATATATCTTATTGTTAATAAAAAATTAATTTATCTTAATAAACTAAATAATCACAACCTAGCACACATTGAACTGAATATTTAATAATCACAAGCTAACCACATATTGAAAAAAATTAGTTTATCTTAAAAACATGTTTACTAAATTTTGTGCAAAACTAAATATCTTAAAAAATTAGTTTATCTAAATGAAAAACATGTTTACTAAATTTTATTCAAGGTTGCCTCACCACATATTGAACTGAATTTAAATAATTAAAAGCTAACCAAACACTCTGATTTTCTCTCTTGTCTTTTGTAGAAACAAACTACTAAGGACATGAAACAATAAAATCAATCAACAAAATATCACAATTAAATCTCAACACAGCCCAGCAAACTGTCACAAACTCAAACCAATCCAGTCAGTTAATCTGAATTCTAAGTTAAAAATCAACGTTATCAACCTCAGAAGCTTCCTCTACACAATGAGATAGCAAATGAGATAGAGAAATACCTTAAAAATCACAAAGCAATAGTGTGAGGCTGCTCTTGATAGAAGAAAGGATGAGATAGTGACAACTTTAGGGGCAGATGGCGGACTAGGAGGATTGAGGGCTGGTTGATGGTGAGAGCGAGAATAAACCTATCTCACCTACTCTCGAGAAGAGAAATAGGAAGAGCAAGAGGAAGAGCAAGACGAAGAGGAGCTCACGAGGAAGAGGAAGAGGAACAAGGTTTGGCTAAAAATGGGTCTCAGAGGAAGAGGAAAATGGAGGAAATGGGTGGCGGCTGTGACTGATACTCAGAGGAAATGACCGAAAATGGTTCTCTGACTCTCTTTGCTTGTCAGAGAAAATGAGTGTTGGTTGGATATGGGTCTTGGAAGAAAGGGGTTTGCTCTGCTCTCGTCTCACTCTTGCACGCGTCCCTGTGATGGCTGTGCATTTTCATTGACGAAGGGAAGAAGCATAAGAAATCAATAAATTCAACGGTTAGATATTTCTAAACGTTGAATATATTAATTACCCAATGGTTGAATGTCAAATCCGTTGAGTATTAATATCAAATACTCAACGGTTATTTGACATAACCGTGGGTAATAATATATATATATATATATATATTCAAATAATATAATATATCTATATATAATTTTGCTAAAAACATATATTCTAATATTATATAATATATATTATTTTGCTAAAAATATATATTCAAATAATATAATATATATATATATAGATATATATATTGTTTTGCTAAAATAATATATTCTAATATTATATATATATATATATTATTTTGCTATACATACATACATGCATATATATATATATATATATATTCAATGTTTAAATCCAAATAAATGTTGAGTATCAAGATATTAAAAAAATAAAAATTAATTGACTCAAGTAGTATATACATTCAACAGTTTAATTTTAATAACTGTTTAGTATTTAAATCAATACTCAACGGTTTTTAAATTTTAACTGTTGAGTAAGAGGTGGAGTGTAATATGCTTATATACTCAACGGTTATATTAATAAACTGTTGAATATTATCATGCAATATTAAACAGTTTTTTAAATAACCGTTTAATATGTAATTTTCTCTTTCCCGCCTCCCAATTTATAACATTTTTAGTTATAACCATCGAATAAATGCTGTTATATATCTAAATTTTTGTAGTAGTGGCAATTCACAAACCCTACACTCAAAACCTCATATTCAAAATTAAATTGTATATCATCAAAAACAAAGAGTCCATCTATCTCCACCAAATTCAAAAAAGCATGTAAGGTGACATGTGTTAGCCATGAACAATCCCACAAATTAAAAAGATTAAGCCAGCGATGATCCTTAGAAATTACTAAACAAATAGGTGTGGAAGAAGTAATCCACAAAGAAAAACTATAGGCTAAATTCAATGAACTCTCATAATCTAGCAACTAAATGAAAATGATTACCCTCAATCTCAAATCATTCATCACCCACACACCCAACCCACAAACACCACACCACAACTGTTGCTACAGAGAAGAACCTCGAAGCTCACTACTACCATGAGCAGGAAAAACTAGAGCTGAAAATTTAGGCGGGTCGGGCCTATTCGGGCTCAGCCCAAATAAGCCCGACCCGAATAGGCCCGAACCCAAACAGGCCCGACTCCTTGAAAAGCCCGAATAGCTAAACCCGGCCTGAATTCCTTCGGGCTTCGGGAGGCCTGAATATCCAAATTTTTATTTTTTAAATCATTTTTAATTAATTTTTTCACTTTAAAATTAATTATTTTATTTTATAAAAAATATAAAATATTTTTTTATACTTAAATGATGTATAGGACTCAAATATATAGCATTTTAGTATAAAATAACCCAAAACTTAATTAATTAATTAATATTTATCATATTTAATATATTTTAAAAAATAAAAAAAATTATTTGGGTATTCGAGCCAAGCCCGAACCCGATCGGGCCTGGCCCAAATTTTCTCAGGCCTATTCAGGCTAGCCTATTCCTGAATAGGCCCAAACATAAAAAAAGTATATTTTTTCTAAGCCTGAATAGGCCCAAACATAAAAAAAGTTTGGGCTAGCCCGTCGGGCTCGGCTCGAATTATTGGCTCTAGGAAAAACTCCCCATGATTGGGAGACTCTCTTAAGGATGGAGAGGGAAACCCTAGAGGTTTTAAATAGAACCCATGCTCTTACTGCCATTTGCAACAAAAACACTTTTAATAAATTGTTTCCAAGAGAAAGAGCCACAAATAGTCTCAACTTAAATCCTCATCAAAACTTAGATCCAAGAATACTTAGAAATCTTAATGAAAACATAACTTAATGAAGATATCTTTAATGTCTTTTGTAACATCCTAAAAATTTTAAGACTCAAATTTATTTAAAAAAATAAATAAAAATAAAATAAAATATCTATAATTAAATTAAAATTTAGAATAATTTGATAGAGGTCCAGAGTTTGAATTTTACTAAGCAAAAGTTTAGTTTTATTTGATTTTTAACTATGGGAAAAATTACCAAAGTTGACCCGGGCTTTTGTGCAATAATAAAAAATGTTGGGCCATTTCTTGTAATTTTCCCCAAACTTTTAAATCAGCTTTTATAAGATGAAAAATCAGACTAGAACGCAGAAAAGAAAACAAGGAAAGAAAGGAAACACGTGAGAGAGAGAGAGAGAGAGGAAGAAGAAAGGAGAAAGAGAGGGAGTTAGGCTCGGATCTAGGAGTCTTTGTGACCGTTGCGAGCTCGGCTACACGATAGGTAAACTCCCTACTTCAATCCTCTTCTCTTTCTCTTGATTTTCTTCAATTTTTAGAAGAGGAGATTTTTGGATTTTGATTCCAAAGGCTTTATTCTTGTAAGCTTTTGTTTCTTTGGATCCTAGGGAGCATGTTTTGAGTTTCTATATAGTGATCTAATATTTTGAGTGGATAATTAGATGAAAAGAGGTGTTTTGGGCACAAAATAAATCCTGAGAAATTGGGTTTTTGCTCTTCAATGGTTTAAGCTTATTGATTTAGTTATAATTTTGCTATTTGAACCCAATAAGATTTAAATTAAGGTTTGGTTTTCATTATAAGGGCTAATGGTGAAAGTTGGTGACACTAAGTGAAGGTTTTTAATTGATAAAAAATTATATAAATTGAAAATTAGCCTAGTAATGGCTAATAAATGGTTTTGGTGGTTAAGTGATACTATGTGAATGGTTGGTTTAATATATGGACCATTAGGGTGGATTATGACTCATTGACCTAAGTTGTGTGGTATAAGTTATAGTCTTCATTAATACTATTTGTCATGATAAGTGATGTGGATCACTTATATGTTGTAGAAAATTGTTGGTGGAACTTATTGAGAAGTAAGGAACAAGCCGAGCCCTATTTTGTACAAGGGGAACCCTTTTAGTACCAAAGGGTTGAGGTAACAGGGGAATTTATATTTCTTATTACTTTGTTTTAGCTATTTTTGAATAAATATTACTAGTTATCATGCATTACATGTTTTAAAAGAATAAATGTGCTTTATAAGGGGTTATGGGGTACTACTTTGATTATAGTGCAAATATGTTTTCTAATTGTTTAATAACAATGTTTTTATGGAAATGAGATTTATAAATATTATACTACTTTAGAGTGTTGAATGGTCAATACTCAGGAAAGGTAGACAAGAGTAAAAGGCATGATCTCGGTGGGAGTTCACCAATGAGAAGGTGTGGATTTTTGATATTCTATGGCACACTGTCAGTACTCAGTGTTGTCTTACGTATTGTGGGCTCAGTGCACTAAAGTGGTTAGTGTATTGAGTGTTCGACACCTCTCAGTGGGGGAGGGAATCCGACATATGAAGTGTGAGGTTGAGTGCCTAGGCCAAGGTAGCCCTCACATGGAGAGTAAGTCGGGCTGGCTCTGGGAGGGAGTTAGCTTTGACTGCTCAGGATTCACGTCGAAGGGGCATAGGCGGTTCGGTGGATTAGATCATGCCTTAGATTATGTTTTGTGCCTGTGGAGGTACAAGTAGGTATAAGGTTTACCTGCGAGTTAAAGAGTGCCAGGGGGCATTCTGTTGGTCATGAAAGGCCATACCGGCCTAGGTCATGCATTCATGCATTTTAAATGGCTAAATTATATACTATGTTGAATTTATTATTCATTTATTTAATTATGGCTTACTTTGTAATAATCAATATAGATTTCACTGTTACTGAGACTGTGGTTGTCTCACCCCTTTCTTTTCAATATTCTAGGTCCAGGCGAAGGATCCAGTGGTGGACGGGGAAAAGAGCAAAGCTAGGGGTTTGCTTGTGATTTGTAAAGAACTGCAACCCCTTTCTTTTGAGCAAATATATTGTAATGTATTTAAGATTAGGGTGCCAGTAGGATATGATTATGTGTGTGTATGTGAATATGTGTGGATTGTGTGCTTGTGTATGAATTTTTGTCTGTTTGCAGACTTGTGGCTAGGAAACTTGGTTATGGTGTGTGGTTTTGATGGATTTACTTAGTAGACCAAGTTTCTATTACAAGCAGATCTTTGTTTTGTTATATATGTGATTTTATAAGCAAATGCAAAGTGGTTGCATTGCAAATGGTGTGCTATGGGCAAACATACACCTTGGATAGAGAGAGGGGGTGCGTGGGCCCCACAAGGAGCTCTGAGCCAAGTGAAAATGTTTAGCATATGTATTTATATAAATACATGGTATTTGGATTGATTTGTGACCACTCTTGTATGATTTGTGTATTTTGGGGGTTTAGGGTCCATTTTGGGAAATGGCACCCGGGTGGTCAAATTTTGATGTATGGGGGTTTTCCATCATTTGAATGTTCTATCAAGTGTTTTTAATCTTATTTGACGTGTCCAAAGTGTTTCCACAGGTTTGTGACCATTAGGATGGGATTTGGACAATTTTGAAAATGGTTTTTACCAAAAAGCTGCACTTTTGCATCCGGGTGTCCAAATCTTAATCCGACCGTTGGATTTCTCTAAAATTTGGGTCACAAGTAAAACCTTTTATAAGCTTCGTGTGGGCTTTGGAATCACGTCGATCGGATATCGGACGGAGAAACGACGCACTCCGGAATTTGGTCTGGAGGTGCTGTCATGACAGCATTAAATTGCTGTCATGACAGCTACAGTGTTGATTTTGTAACCTGCACAAAATTCAATCCGTCCGTTGGATCTTTTCAAAATTTAGTATGCTAATAGTATTCTTTAAAAGTGACATGTGGGCTTTAGAATCACTCCGATCGGAGGTCAGATGATGAAATGGTGCACTCCGGAAGTTGGTCCGGAAGTGCTGTCATGACAGCTTTTTAGCTGTCATGACAGCAAAAATAGTCAATCTTTTAACATGTCTAATTTTTAATCCGACCGTTGGATCTTTTTGAAATTTGGTACACTTATAGTACCCTTTGAATGTGACGTGTGAGCTTTAAAATCATTCAATCGGAGGTCGAATGACGGAACACCGCCTCCTGGAAGTTGGCCCAGGAGGGCTGTCATGACAGCAATAAATTACTGTCATGACAGCATCTTTTTATTCCATTTTCGTCTAACTTGCTTCCGTGCGCTATAGGTAGAACCTATAATTATTTTTAAGGTTTTAAATGATTTATTTCTTAAGTTGGTTAGAGGATCAACTCCTTAACCACACTTAGTTTGTTTGAATTATGTGATTTTTGGATAACACTCAAGGCAAGTGTTACATTTGGTATCAGTTTTAGGTTTATGATTCCTTTTTCCTACTTGGCACCTTAATACATTACTTTTATGCTCTTTCCCTTCTACCACTAACCTGGACTAATATGGTTTTTCTTTCTCTGGCTTGTTCCTTTAGGAGGGGAGAAAGGTCCGTACGCTTGTAGCCATACACCTTTCAGTTCTAATATGGCTCGAAGGGGAAGGGGTAGATCGAGGAATGAGGAACGACCACCACCTCTACCTCCTCCGCCTCCACCTCCGCCTCCACCTCCACCACCACCACAGGGGACAGATGCAGTCATAGCTAGGCTGCTTGAAGTTATGGTGGATATACAGCAAAATCTTAGAAGTCATACTGTTCCAGATCAGCATGTTGACCTAAGTGCTGGGCAGGGATCTTCTAGTACTATGGGAGCTCATGCACCAGTTGTTAATAATCGAGAGGATGACATATCTGAACCTTGGAAGGAATTCTCTCGCTCTAATCCGACTACATATGATGGTAGTATGCTTGATGGGAAAGCTGAAGAGTGGTTGGATCGGATGGAGCAGTTATTTACTGTTGTGAGGTGTACATCTGAGCAGAAGGTTATCTTGGCTACGATGCAGCTTGTTGGTGAAGCCAAGCATTGGTGGGATTCTGTTAAGCCCACAGATGGAAGATCTATGTCTTGGGATGAATTTAAAGAAAGATTTTATGATTTTCACTTTCCGCCAGCTTTCAGAGATGAGAAAGAGGCAGAGTTTCATGCATTTCAGCAGGGGGACTTAGACGAGGAGACTTTTATAAGAAAATTCAATCAGCTGTCTAAGTTCTCAACATATCTGAAGGCTTCTAATGATAGCAAGTGGAAAGCAAAGAGGTTATTAGAAAAGATGAGGCCAGAATACCGCCAGCAGCTATCTTTGTTAGGCGAGGCGACATATGATGAGATGTGCAATCGTCTGAGGATTGCCGCTCGTCGAGGCCGAGACACAGAGAGTAGCCGGAGTAGGGATACACGAGGTCGATTTTCTTTTGGGTTAGCTCCTACTGGTGGTGTATCCAAGAGAATGGGTTTTAGCTCTGGTTCTTCTTCTAGTGGCTCCTTTAGAATCGGGTCTTCTTCTGCTTCTGGTAATCGAAATTTAAATAGGGGTTCAAGATTTCAAGGTAATCGGGGTGGTAATATGAGATCTGGGGGTTCTCGTTTCTCTGGGAATGCTCCAGCACGTTCTTCACAGACCAGTCAAGCCCCAATTCTAAGTACAGCGAGGTCACCTTGCAATAGATGTGGTAGGGTTCATTTTGGTCGCTGCTTTGCTTGTTATAAGTGTGGAAAGTTAGGCCATTTGATCCGTGACTGCCCTGATTTACATGAGAGCTCGGACCGGAGGAACGTGATTCCTGGTAGAGTGTATACAGTATCTCAGGAGGAGGCTAGGAAGTCATCGAATCTAATCACTGGTATGGTTTCTATCTGTGGCCTCGATTTAGAAGCTTTGTTTGATTGTGGTGCGACGCATTCTTTTATTTCTGCCGAGTGCTTAGATAGAATGGCTATGCCTGTTGACCAGTTGCCCCATGATATAGAAGTTTCCTCTACTTCTGGTTTAGTTGGTCGATCCAGTGTGGTGTGTAGGACTAAGATGACTTTTAATGGGCGATCGACTTGGGTGAATATGATCAAATTACCTATGCAAGGGATTGATTTAATTATTGGTATGGATTGGTTGACAGCTTATGGTGCTGTCTTAGATTGTGTGACTAAGACAGTGACTTTGGTAGAAGTACCGGAGGTGATCAAAGAATACCCTGGTCATTCTTGTTTTCTTTCTTCTTTACAAGTTGAAAGATTGATTGAGCAAGGATGTGAGGCTTACGTGGTAGTGCTCGCTACCCAAGGGTCTGAGACAGGTATAGTGGATGAAATTGAGGTTGTTAAGGGAGTTCCCAGAGGTGTTTTCTGAGGATGTATCAGGATTACCTCCAGAACGTGAGGTTGAATTCTCAATTGACTTGGTACCGGGGACTCAGCCAATTTCAAAGGCTCCCTATAGAATGGCTCCTTCAGAGTTAGCTGAGTTGAAGAAGCAACTTGAGGAGCTGTTAGATAAGGGATTTATTAGACCTAGTGTTTCTCCTTGGGGATCTCCTGTCTTATTTGTGAAGAAGAAGGATGGTAGTTTAAGATTGTGTATCGATTACAGGCAGTTGAATAAGGTTACGGTGAAGAACAAGTACCCACTGCCTCGCATCGATGATCTCTTAGATCAGTTGGTTGGTGCCACGATTTTCTCTAAAATTGATTTACGTTCAGGGTACCATCAGCTAAGAGTTAGTGAGAAGGATGTGGCAAAGACTGCTTTCAGGACTCGATATGGTCATTATGAGTTTTTGGTTATGCCATTCGGGCTGACTAATGCGCCTGCGGTTTTCATGGACTATATGAACCGCATTTTTCGACCTTTCTTGGATCAGTTTGTGGTAGTTTTTATTGACGATATACTGATCTACTCTAAAGATGAGGAGCAGCATGCCAGACACTTGAGGACTGTCCTAAGGTTTCTACGAGATCATAAGCTATATGCCAAGCTCAGTAAGTGCGAGTTTTGGATGAGAGAGGTTAGGTTCTTGGGACATATCGTGTCGGCAAATGGTATTGCAGTTGATCCATATAAAGTTGAAGCAGTCATGCAATGGGAGAGACCAAAATCGATAACTGAGATCCGTAGTTTTCTGGGATTAGCAGGTTACTACCGGCGTTTTATCAAAGGTTTCTCTCAGATTTCTATGCCTTTGACTAGACTCACAAGGAAGGATAGGCCATTTATCTGGGATGATAAGTGCGAGACAGCTTTTCTTGAGTTGAAAGAAAGGTTAACAACAGCTCCAGTATTGGTGATTTCGGATCCTCAAAAGCCCTATGATGTGTATACTGATGCCTCTCATAAGGGTCTTGGTTGTGTTCTAATGCAAGATGAGAGAGCAGTGGCATATGCATCTAGACAACTTAGACCGCATGAGGAGAATTATCCAACACATGATCTCGAGTTGGCTGCGGTGGTCTTTGCGTTAAAGATCTGGCGTCATTATCTTTATGGAACAGAGTTCAGGGTCATGAGCGACCATAAAAGTCTCAAGTATCTGGTGGATCAAAAAGAGCTGAATATGAGACAGAGACGTTGGATGGAGTTTCTTAAAGATTATAATTTTGAATTTAAGTATCATCCGGGGAAAGCAAATGTGGTAGCAGATGCTCTTAGTCGCAAGACCTTACATGTAGCCTATTTAATGGTTCGGGAGCATAGATTGATGGAATCTTTGGTTGAAATTTTTTTGGGTATGACTAAGTTCTCTTTGAATAGTCTTAATACTATGGTTATTTCTAATGAATTTTGGAAAGAGATACGAGATGCTCAGCTTCAAGATCCGATTTTGTTAAAAATAAGTCAAGACATCGAGAATGGTGAGATAATGGACTATTGGTTTAGTGATGATGGGTATGTGGTTTTCAAGGATGGGTGGTGTGTATTCCTAACAATGAGTCTATTCGAAAGAAATTGTTGGATGAGGCACATCGAAGTAGCTACACCCTTCATCCCGGTGCTACTAAGATGTATCATGACATGCAGCGTCATTGGTGGTGGCCAGGCATGAAAAAGGATGTCACAGAGTATGTTAGTAAGTGTTTGACCTGTCAGAAGGTCAAAATAGAGCACCAAAGCCATCGGGTTTATTACAGCCTTTGGAGATTCCTAAATGGAAATGGGAGAAGTATTTCAATGGATTTTGTATCTGGTTTGCCGAGTAGATCGTTTGACTAAGTCAGCACATTTCTTACCGGTCAAGACCACCTATATGGTTGATAGGTATGCTGAGATCTACATTAAGGAGATTGTGCGACTACATGGGGTACCGAGGGATATTGTTTCAGACCGTGATCCTCGATTTACATCAATTTTATGGCAAGCTATGCAAAAGGCTATGGGTACGGATCTGAAGTTTAGTACGTCCTTATCATCCACAAACGGATGGACAAACTGAGCGGACGATCCAGACATTAGAGGATATGTTGAGGTCGTGTGCCCTAGAGCTTCAGGGAAGCTGGGATAAGCATTTACCTCTGGCAGAGTTTTGCTTATATAACAGTTATCATGCCAGTATTCAAATGGCTCCTTATGAAGCATTGTATGGAAAGACGATGCAGATCGCCTCTTTGTTGGTATGAGTTGAGTGAGAGGACAATGATGGGACCGGATGTGGTAGATGAGACCACAGAGAAAATCAAATTGATCCAACAAAAACTTCTTACAGCACAGAGTAGACAGAAAAGTTATGCAGATAATCGTCGTAAGGACTTGTCTTTTGAGGTTGGGGATCATGTCTTTCTCAAAGTTTCCCCATTGACGGGCGTTGGACGCTCAATTCGGGCTAAAAAGTTATCTCCTCGATATATGGGTCCTTTTAGGTTTTTTGAAGAAGTTGGGCCGGTGGCTTATCAGTTGGCATTACCGCCTCAGTTAGCGGGTCTACACAACGTGTTTCATGTGT